CAATCTTCCTCTTCTCGGAACCTACGCGTGAAACAATCACACGCTAAGTCGTTGACTTAGTGAGGCATATAGAACATAATTATATGCTAACTGTAAATTCTACAATGCATGAACATTTGATATTATCTTATCATACCAAAGTATATATATTCTTTTCTGTAACATATATACATACATGCACATATCATGTAACATAACATCATTAACATGCTTATCATTTCTCATTCTATCATCACTAATTTCTTTATATACCATATCAACATATAATGTAAATTCTAAATCACACTATTTCATAAACAATTACCAATCTCATATAACACATACGTTACACTTAGGAATACACATAGTATCACATATGAATCTTGTAAATACTTCTGATGTCTTTTATAGGCCCATGTATATTACTGAGAACTTAAGGTATGTGAGTACTGTGAGGTTGTGCACTATGCTGTCACCACAGCTCGTATAAATTTTCACCGTAGTGACACGTAGAATTTGCACCGAAGTGCCGCATAGAAATACACCGTAGTGCCATAGAAGATTGTCCATAAGGACCACATATAAATTCCTTAAGAATCATATACATATACCAAGGATCAAGTAGGAGTCTCAAAATACCTCTTACATGCTCCAAAGAATACATATACGTCCCGAAGGACCACGTAGAATTTGTCCCGAAGGACCGCGTAGACCCTTGACTCTTGGCATGCCAACTATACCTCTAGATCTCATGACACATAACATGGGCATTATCTTTCATATTTATTACATACTCATATCGACACATAGTTCACTTACACGTAGAACATTTTCATATTATTCACTTTCACATGGCACATGGCTTATACCTTGTTCTTATGTCTTCTCATAGACATATCATTTTCATACCTTTATCACATAGCTCATATAATTTTTCCTGCATATTCACGTCACATATTTCATATCATTTTACATGGAATTACGTAGATTGTTTCATATGGTTTATATCATTTTTCCTTTGTCCGTATACATATGTCATATATACATCACATAACACATAAGATAACATATCATGCGTATCACATATTTACTATCATCTTTTTCATATATCTTCATGTAGTTCAATATCACATATTGCATATAAGAACATATTACACATATACACATTTCATGTACTCATGCACACATAAAGATCACACAACATTTTAGAAATTACTTCTTACCATAATAACTCTGTCACTGGCTCATCGTAAGCCAATGTTTGATCAATAACATTAGTACAATTAAATTGCACTCACCTTAGCCTTGCTTTGATTCGATCCTAATTCTTTGATTGTTCCAGAATTTGTTTAGGCTCAATATCTACATAAACATAATTTCTGAGATAAATTTCAGAAGCCTAAACCTTATAATTCAATACTAATAACTTGAGCTAATTTAATGAACCTAAAAATTCAGTTTTCCTATAGGGGTGTATCGATGCACTGTGGGTGCATCGGTACACAGAATAGCTTCGAAATTCTTATGCATCGATGCACCCCTTAATGCATCGATGCACATTCAAAAATTGTCTTAGTGCATCGGTACACAATCATAGTGCATCGATGCACCTGCTCACTGTTCATGCACGAAAATTCACTATATTAACTTAAATTCTTCATGTTTTATTCCCTTTCATATTCTTAACTCAAATATACATACTTAAACTAATTTATATCCATTTATTTCATTTTAAACCTCAAAATTCTATTCTCCATATAGAAATCAATAATCATACCAAATTTTCCATGTTATCCAAACTTAATTCTAACACTTCTAACTTCTTATTCTCATAGATGACAAGTCAAATTCATCCTCCAAATTCATTTCAATCTTCCTATTCAAAATTTCACTTCAAACCCATTTTCTTTAATCTGTCATAACTCCTTTATCTTTTGATTTTAAGATAACTTAAGCTTTCCTTAAGCTTAGTTATCATATAATGATCAAAACCCACTCTTGAATTTTAAATATTAACCAGAAAAATCAAACTCACCTTGGCTTGGGTTTCACGTTGGAGAGGAAGAAGATGAAGAGAGAAGAGGCAAGAGCAATATGGAAACTTAATTTCCCAAATTATGATTCACATGGATTTATAAAATACCCACTATCATTATTTTATTCCTTTATTTGTTCAATGACCCTTTTGCCCTTTGATTCTTTCAATAATTACCAATAACCCTTTAGATATTATTTTAAAATAAATCATTGAACTTTTCAACTTTTCAACTTTTCAACTTTTCAACTTTTCAACTTTTCAACTTTTCAACTTTTCCACTTTAATCACCAAATTTTAAAATTTTATAATTTAATCTCTAACCCATAGTTTGGGATGTTACAATGGGTGTTCATAAATGGTGGACCAACTATAGTCTGGCGTATGCAAGAGGAAGACCAATTTTTTAACAGTTTTAGAAAGAAAAACATTTTAGAACTGAATAAATCCAGGAATAGTTAACCCTTTCCATTACATGAAAACGTATGGGGGAATTATTAATTTTAAGAGATAAGGCATATAATCTAACTCCGGAAACTATACAGCAAACACTCTATTACGTTTAATAAGGTAGATTGTAAAGAGGTTAAGATAGGGAAAACAAGTAAAAAAACTCGATTCAATTATGTATGATGATCAAATCCATTAATGATCTATTTTCTTCTCTCAAAAAGAGAATCAAACACACTATATAGTATGAATGTTTTTTTGGATAATTCAATCAATTTATTACCCAAAGAGCAAGAATTGCTACAAAAAACAGAGTTCATGATACAAGGATTGCTACATACAAAAAGTAACAGCAATCAAATAATACCCCAATTGTTACCAATAGTAATATTAACAGTATCTAATCTATTAAGGTTTCTACCCCTTAATTGAAAATCAACCGTTTCCTTAATGGCTTGAATCAGATCATCAATGGTCCTTGAATGTTCTTGAAAAATCCTTTTGTTTCTTTCTTTCCATAGAGTGTAAATAAGGGCATTGGAAGCAAGCTTAAAAATGTATGTGATAAGGGACTTACCCTTCCATTTAGCAGTAGCCCAAGTAAGGAGATCATCACAAAAGATGGTTTTGCAAACCATTTAGAGAGAAGACGGCAGCCCATAAAGAACCAGCAGCGGGACATTCGAAGAAAAATCCATATAGTATGAATGTTATACCACTCAATACATCACCTAACTCACTAAAGAGAAAAAGGCCAGAGTCCTGATGGATTCAATATTATCCTAATTCTGATTGTAGCTTTCTTTTTACGTCTAAACCTATTGGTGATTGGCCATACAACAGCAAAGAACCTGATCCCGTGAATAGAAGTACCCTGTCATCCACAGATTATTAACCTAAAAGTTTCAAACTAAAATCTCATATTTTAACAAATAGGGGGTGTCTCTTTCTAGACAGTATAGGCTATTATATCATCGCCACCAGCCAATTAGAATCCCAAGTTCTAAACATTACGGATTCTCCAAGGAGACATTTGTACTTAATCAAAATTAAATGGAGAAAATTCAAAATTAAAACTGACCCACAAAGTCTACCAGTCAAACAAGTTAAAATTCATAATCAGCACGATTCTTAAGTAATCAATTCTGAACTTGAAACGAAGTGTTAAAAATGTTGGCTATCTTTCGTGCATTCAGGTTTTTTTTAAAGTGATGTTCAGGTCGATTGGATTCGAGTTTAGGATGAAAAATATTCGACGCGACCCAGCCTTGGAAAAAATATAATTTCATCTTATATATTTATGAATAATTACAATAATACCCTTCTATATATATTATTTTTTAAAATTAAGTTATTATTTTTATTGAATAAAAATAATTTTTTTTTATTATTTCGAGTCGGGTCGAATTTGAATTTTCTCTCAAAAAAATCTGGTCGGATGGAGAGTCGTGTGAATGATATAATATTTTCGTGTCGGGTCGATTTGACCGAAACACGACCCATGCCCATCCTAAATTATATAATAATGCATGATATGTTTTAGGTCAATCCCAATGTGTGCTACTGTGCTTACTATAAGTCAGTTTGCAAACAAGGGGCCGTATGAGAGAGAGGCGCAGACGACGCCCTCACGTGCATCCACGCCATCTCCTACGCACTGAAATCTGATCCAAAATCTAATCCCCAATACAAAAACACACCCCCACATTTTCAGTTTCTTCCTCCTTCTCCCCCATAAAAACGAGTAATAATATTTTACACATTCGAATCTCAACGTTTTCATTTGAGAATAATTTGGATCATGCTGCTTGCTATGGTATCGGTTATTAGGGATGTATATGAGACTTGAACTTAACGGGTTCCGACCCGAGTCGATCCGATTGAGCCGATTTCAAATTTAGTATGAAAAATACCTAATCCGACCAACCTAAAAAAATGATAATTGTATCTTATATTTAGGGATAATTACAATAATATATCTCAATATATTATTATTTTTAATTAAATCCTTATTTTTATTGAATAAAATTAATATTTTTTAATAAATATATAATTTTGGGTCGGATAAGATACGGATCGAGTAGAAGATATATATTTTTCGAATCAGATGAAAGATGTATAATTTTGAGTCAAGTCGGGTAGACCGAAAATCTGACCCAACCCATGTGCATCCCTATCGGTTATTAATCGTTTCAGTTGGTATCACATAACATTTTAAATTATCTTTTAATATTTGTTGACTTCATATTTTATTTTTTAATAATTAAATATAATGTTATAAAATATAATTAATTGTTTAATATTTTATATTTATCTATAAATACATTCTAAGTATGCAATTGATATATTTTTATATATCAAATCTAATTATGAATTTTACTTCTTTATGTTATAAAATTTGAGAAGTTGAATTTCCTATTTAATTTCTTAGAGTTCAATTCGTATACTTTATAAAATCGAGGAAGGAATTAGACTAAAAAAATAACAAAAAAGCGAGCTTTTAGTGAGCAAACCGTTTCTCATTTTCTCTAAACAGATTTTCCGAAGCTGTTGTCATCAGCCAAACAGAGCCATCTGACTCATCCTTTCAATCTCTCAGCTCCGCCTTCGTCCTCGGTAAGTCTCGCTCTCGCTCCTCAGTGATTCCGTTCTCCAAATATGCTTCCGTTTTTTAGTTTCTCGATTTTAATTTCTTTTATGTTTTTTACTCTTTTTTTCATTTGTCGGTTGTTCATTTTATTTGTGAATCGGTTAATTCAGATTGCAGGCGTCAACGCATTTAGTCAAAGGGAATTTAGGCTTTGAGATTCCAAAACGGAGAGTTTTACCTCGCTTTAGTGAAGTTAGGCAGCGGAGTTTAACTTTGAATCGCAATTTTTGCATCCGAAGTGGTTCCACTTGCAGCGGTTTAAGCTCAGTTAGCGTTTCAATGGGAGCTGGACTTGTACGTGCCAGGAATGCTATCCAAACCGCCGTTCTCTCTTCGGCCAAATCTCGATCGGTCAAAGCTCTTTCTCTCTCTTTCTCGTCTGTTTTTTCCTTTCAATTTTAAGCTGTGTTCCAGTTTATTCTTTTTTATTGAATTAATGATGGATTTTAATGCTAGAAACATTTTCTTGATGAACGAATTGCATTTTAGTGAGATCGGATTTTGTTTGGCTAGTGATATGGAATGGCGCAGAATGTTGCTCACGTCATTTATCTGTCTTTTTAACTAAAAGTTATTTATCAATTCGAATGTTTCACATAGGAAAACTTTTGAGGCACTGGATTGATGCGTCAATTATGCACACGAGACACAAAAACAATAAATATAATGAAACGGAAGAATAAAAAATAACATGAATTCGACAAGAAAATGGAATGCATCAAAATCTAAATGACAAATTATGAACATATTTAAGTTTATATAATTTAAATAAGAGCATGGCATGGAAAAATTAAATACGAACATGGCACGAAAATATGAATTTTTATGTCTGCATGGTTGTAGGGAGCATCATGTAAAGAAATGAATTAATTAGTTTCTTTTTTGTTTATAATTCTTCCACTTGTTTATTTGCTTCTTGAAAAAACAATGGAAAGTAGAAGTGAAAACTGAAAAGTAAGAAATGAAATATTTTATTTGATTAAAACTGAATCTGATACATTCAAGTGTATGCAAGAAACTTTTTGTTTTTTGGTTTTTAAAAGGTTAAAATTTTAACTCTAATAATTTAGGAATATTAATTCATTTTGTATCCAAATTCCAAATATCCTGTTTACTTTTTGTTTCTAGAAGCAAATAGAAGGGTCAACAACAATAATCAATAGAACCTTTTTCTAAGCGATAAAGCAAATGTGTAAACTTTTGTTTCATGAGGTTGCTAGTGGCTTTATATCTTCTATAGCAGCATGATGATGGCAAGTAAATGTGATAATTTTTTTTAAAAAAAAATGGGATAAACTTACTTTATTCTTACAGATATTATTAACTAATTCTCTTTGTGATTGTTTAATTTGAAGAGAACATTATTTTTGGCTAAAATCTAATAACTTGCACTGTTGTGCTGGTAATGATGGATGTATACTTGTCAGACGCCTCCTATTATAAGTGACACTGATGTGTAATGGGTTTGTTTGTTGGAAGAATGCATTCTTCCTATTCAGATGTATTGGCCTGTGCATAGATCATTTGCTAAGCATCTTGGTTTTGTAATTATTGCAAAATAAATTAGTCTTTTGAACCTCCTTTTCTATAACCTTACAAATGGCATTTGAAATCATAATGCAGGTGGAGACATTGAGGATTTTACACCGATCAACCCTCAGGAGAAATCTTCTGGGACAGTTCTGCCATTTGTTGGTGTTGCTTGTTTGGGAGCTATATTATTTGGTTACCATCTAGGGTACATATCCTAGTTCCACTCAGAAGGAACATGCTCTTGTTACCTGGTTCTAGACTTATCAATTTAGAGGTTTTGTCAGCCCAATGATATACTTAGGCAATTTGTGCTTTAGAAACAGACACGTATTCTCCATCAATAACCAAGCATCAGAAGGTTCTCTATGGTTCATTTATGTGGAGTCCCAAAAATATATTCCTGAAACAAGGGATGGTGATGGATATTTCAGTATTTTGGAAATGTTCAAACATTGAATAAGATTACCCCGTTCAATGTATTATTATAGGAAAATAAATTTCTTGTGGAAATTTATGCAAAGAATTCGTGATCAATATCTTGGAATTTGTCTTGCTACAATTTCTGCCACATGGCTGATTTGTTTGTTTTATAGCCTGCTTTTGATAATTCTACGTGCATCTAATCCCCCCCCTTTCTCACTTCTATTTCTTCTGTCTTCAGGGTGGTAAATGGTGCTCTTGAGTATCTAGCTAAGGATCTGTGGATTGCTGAAAATACTGTTTTGCAAGGCATGTTTTGTGATTTTTAGTTATGATGAACATTTAAATCTCTACTTGCAATGTTGTTGTTGTGTTTCTCTCTCCCTCTCTCTGTCTCTGTGTGTGTGTGTGCGCGTTGACATGTGTATTATGACTTGATAAATACATGTTTCTTGCTTGAAGATTATTTTGTGAAAATTTAGTGGAATTGGCGGTCTTCAACTGCTCCATGTCATTTATCTCTAGTTGTGAGCTTTATTTATATAAAAAAGGAATTTACTTCATTTTTAATCATTCAAACAATGTCAGGAGATGTTTGGTTGTTGTTTTTCCTTTTTAATCAATTTAGTTATTCTGATTTTTGTGATGGTAATTTGAGTAGGATGGGTTGTCAGCACACTCCTTGCTGGTGCCACTGTTGGTTCATTTACTGGGGGAACACTGGCAGATAAATTTGGCAGGACAAGGACTTTTCAATTAGATGCTATTCCACTTATCATTGGAGCATTTCTTACATTTGTATCGTTTCCATAACTATTAGCTTGTCATCTGTCAGAAGTTTGTTGAAAACTAATGCATTAAAATGCCTTAATTGTTTTTAGTGCTACAGCCCAGAGTGTCCAGACTATGATAATTGGCCGCTTATTGGCTGGTATTGGTATTGGCATATCATCTGCTATAGTTCCTCTTTACATATCTGAGGTAAAATTTTTAGATCTATTATTTTCTTTGGTTGTCTAGTTTTTGGAAATATATGTTGATATTCTTTCTATTGATCAGATCTCACCAACGGAAATTCGTGGTGCACTTGGATCTATAAATCAACTTTTTATATGTATTGGGATTCTTGCTGCATTGGTGGCTGGATTACCTTTAGCAGGAAACCCACAATGGTATGCTATCTTAGCATTCATATACTTGTGTCACATGGATTAACCCTCAGTGTGGTTTCTTCATCTGGCACTTTGTCGTCTTCAGTATTCAAGGCATTGAGTTTCTCTTTGGACTGTGGACCACCACCTTTGTTGGGATTTTGGAAAAAGGTACTTAGAAATGCTGCTAATTCCCATGTTCTTTTTAGCCTTGCTAGGCTGCTTGCAATAGCTTCCTTTCTTTCATACCCAAATTCAACTGTCTATATTGAGGATCCACCATTTATGGGTACTTAGTTTTCCAACTTAAATAGCGCTTTTAACAATTTGTCTGGAAACTACCAAGCATACATCCAATCATGCGTCTAGAGAGTTTAACTTCTAACTTCTGACAAGTATTTTAGGTAGATGTTTCTGTAATTTGAGCTTTAATTTGGTATAAAAAAATGCTTAAAATTCTTTATATTTCTGGTAGCTATCTCTCTTTTCTTCTATGTTTTGATTTCCATTTGGCACTCATTCATTTTACTAGAAAAAGGGTGAGGAAGAGACCTTAGGACATGGGTGAAAAGGATAAAAGACTTTTCTTTTAGAAATTATATTTTCAGTAAATATTTTTAGACAAAGCACAAAGGTGCAATATGATTGATGTAGTCAATCCCTTGCACTATGGTGTGGGATTAGGCTTTTTTTTTGTCCATTATTTGTACATACCGTGTTCCTTGTACATGTGCCCCCTATGCACCTAAGCATGTCTCGATCATTGGTGTTAGTATCCCCCGCTAAACGAGCATGGTGAAAATCCTCCATTCCCCAAAAATTGTACTAAATTAAACACACAAAAAAAGGGTAATAACCGAATAAAAGAAAAGCTCTCTGTGACCATTTAGAATATCTATGTTTTTTGCATGCTTTTGATCAATCTTTATTTATTTATTTTTTTGTTTGTGAGATTGAGTGCATGGGCCAATCTTTATTTTTGGATTTTTTCTTTGTTGGTGAGAGTGAATGAATAGATCAAGAGGGTTGTGTTTTTAAAGTTGATTTCAAGAAGGCTTATGATACAATTGACTAGCCTATTCTGTTCAAAGTAATGAGGAGAATGGGCTTTGGTGATAGATAGAGAGGTTGGATTTCGAACTGTATCAAAACAACCACTGTTTCAGTCTTGGTTAATGGGGTTCCTACGGAGGAATTCCCAATGGCTAAGGGTCTTCGACAAGGTTGTTCCTTGTCTCCTTTATTGTTTAATATGGTGGGGGAACTTCTGAATTTATTGATTCTAAAGGCAGTTTCACAGGGGTTGTTTTCAGGTCTGGTTATTAGCAGGGAGGAGGGGAATTTTAATTTATCTCATCTACAATTTGCTGATGATCTCATAATCTTCAGTGGTGCATCAAAAAAACAGCTTTTGAATGTGAAGAGGGTGCTCCGAGTGTTTGAAATTATGCTTGGTCTTCAATTGAATTTGCAGAAGTGTAAATTGTTTGGGGTTAACTCGAATGAAGAGGAAAAAATGGATTGGGCAGCTACGATTGGATGTTCAGTGGGTAACTTCCCTTCATAGTATTTGGGACTTCCTCTTAGAGCACACAGAAACTCTAACCATCTGTGGGATCCAGTGATACAAAGTTTCAATAAAAGGTTGGCGGGCTGGACAACATTATCTTTTTCTCTAGTAGGGAGGCTGGTTTTAATTAAATCAGTTCTATGTTCACTCCCTACATATTTTTTGCCATTGTTCAAGATTCAAGTTTCGGTTTACAAGGCTCTTAATTCAACTATGTCCAATTTCTTATGGGGTGGAGGAAATGGGAAAAATAAAATTCATTGGGTGAGCTGGTAAGATGTTTGTAAACCTAAGATTGCAGGAGGATTGGGGGTTCCTAATTTAAATGTGGTTAATAGAGCCTTATTGGAGAAATGGGCTTGGAGGTTTGCTAATGAGAGGGAGGCGGTTTGGGGGGATATGATTTGTACCAAATACAAAATGGACTCATCGTTAATGCAGTTTGACAGTAATGTTTCCCCTAAATGCTCTTGGATTTGGAGATCTATGGTGAGTAATCATTTCAGATCAGATTCTATTGGCTGTAAAATCAGGAGTAAATATAGTTATAAAATAGGTAATGGGAGAATTATCCGGTTCTAGCAAGACGTTTGGGCTATGGATCATCCTTTAATTGTTATTTTTCCTAGACTGTTTGCTATTGCAGTAAACAAAACTGGAAAATTATTCCAGTTCGGGGAATTTAGCTCGTGGGGTTGGTTTTGGAACGTTCAATTGAGAAGGGAATTGAATGCTGGGAATATGAGCAATGAACAAATTTGATGGTTGTTATTTCAGTCTTCTCTATTTCTGTTGGTTCTGTTGATGGGCTGATTTGGAAGGGCAATGGAGACGGGGGGTTTTCTGTTAAATCATGTGCTAATCTATGTTATTTGGGGACTTCGGTTTCGGAGGAAGCTCATTTTTGGAAGAACGTAGTTTGGAGGGGCTTGCTGCCTCCAAGAGTGGAGACTTTTCTATGGCAAGTGATTCTGCAGAAACTGCCAGTGAAGACAGCTTTGGTTAAACGAGGTGTAAAGGGCATAGATGATCTATTATGTCCTTTATGTAAGTTAATGGAAGAGTCCCCCTCACATTTATTCTTTTATTGTTCGGTTGTTTGGTCTATATGGAATAAGTTCATGCGCTACTGGAATATTCAGTCTGTTTTTCACGTGGATGCTAAAATCTTTCTCCTAGCATGGGCTGAATTGAGGTCCAACTCTCTCATATGGTCATTTATTCCTGGAGTGGTTCTTTGGACAATATGGAAAACTAGGAATTCTATTGTGTTTGAAGGAGGGAAGCTAGATCGAGCTGAAATTTTATTTTTAGCAAGGTTTAGGCTTGTCTCATGGTTTTTAGCAAAAAATACTCAGTTTTCTATCTCAAAGGATTCTCTTTTTGCTGATCCTTCCTTAGGGGATTCTTGCTTGCCACATTCTAATATGATTTTATCTAATTTTCTGTGGTCCCCTCCTCTCAAGGGCTTCATCAAACTTAATGTGGATGCTGCTACTACTAGTGATTGGAAGAGGAGTGGTCTAGGTGGGGTTCTAAAAGACGTATCTGGTTCGATCCTAGACTCTTTCAAAGAGTCTGCTGGTCCGGGGCCTCCAACCTTGATGGAGTTAAGAGCTATCCTAAAGGGTCTAGCTTTCTTTGATTCTATTCGACGGAGATTTAAGGAAAGAATGATTATTGAGAGTGATAGTAGGGTGGCAGTCGACTGGGTTAAGGATCCTGTTTTATGTCCTCATGGTTATGTTCACATTGTTAAAGACATTATTCAAAAGCTCAGAGATTGTGAAGGTGTTATTAGATGGGTTAATAAGACTGCCAATATAGAGGCAGATGCACTAGCTAAGGCTGGTATTGGTTGATCCTCATGTTATTTTTGAGGGATGTTTCTTTTTGGTTTTCTATCTCCTCAAGGGAGTTAGGTTTTGTATTCCTATGTACTCGTTTTATTGTCAATAAAATCCTAGGGCACCCTTTTCCTCCTTCCGCTGATTAAGGAATTGTTTTTAAGTTCCTTTAATCATGAAGGGGTTTTTTAATGAGGCCTATCATTCCTATAAAAAAATGAATAGATCAAGAAAATGCCTTAATCACTACGCATAATATAATGTTGTGCATGATGCGCCAAAATGTGGTTAAGAATAAGGTTTATTTTGCAAGTAAACTGTATTTGTCTTGTTTGTACAATTTTCTATTTAGGTGGAGGACAATGTTTGGCATTGCTGCTGTCCCTTCTATTCTTTTGGCACTAGGAATGGCTTTTTCTCCAGAAAGTCCTCGGTGGCTGTTTCAGGTTTCTTAATGGACAACTCACTCTCTGTTTTTTGCATTTCTGTTCATATGTCGTAGAAATATTATATACATAATATAAATTATTTATTGATTAAACACATAAAATTCGCAGCAAGGGAAAATTCCTGAAGCTGAAAAGGCTATAAGAACATTGTATGGAAAGATAAGAGTTGCTGAGGTTATGTATGAGTTAAGAAATGCAGGTCAAGGGTCTACCGAACCAGAAGCCGGATGGTTTGATCTATTTAGCAGCCGTTACTGGAAAGGTATACCTGAAATTTAAATGCCCGTTGATAAAAATTCCATTGTTAGAAATGCTACTGGACAATATTGAGAAAAATTAGATGATGCATTACATTCTTGTTTTGCTTTGTCGAAATTTTTTACCTTGTAAAGTTGAAGATCCAATATTCTTGAAAGATGCTTGTTTTTTTTTTTTTGAAGAGTTCTTGAAGTTGCAGAATAAGTCTATTTAGTGTTTTTTATTTACCAAATAAAGACGAGTACTTAATTTGCAAGGCTTAGGTTTTGTTAACCGCCAGTTGTGCTGTTCCTGCACTATTTTATTTTTGTCTTGATCTGTCGATGATTAACAACGAACTCAAAGGTCAAGAGTATAATTCCTTTTGTTTAAACTTGATTTCTCCGTATTCTAATTTAAAATAACCTATGGTTCTTCTGATTTCTGGATCTATATTCACATGTTTAAAACTTATTATCCTCAGAACTAAACCTTCAAGTCTCTAATGCTTTTCAATGCGTCATGATAATGCCCTTTCTTGACTTTTTGTAACGCTGCAGTTGTGAGTGTTGGAGCTGCACTTTTCTTGTTCCTACAGTTAGCTGGGATAAATGCTGTTGTATACTATTCTACAGCTGTGTTTCGTAGTGCTGGAATTGCATCTGATGTTGCAGCAAGCGCTCTTGTTGGGGCATCAAATGTCTTTGGTTAGTATTTAATTATTTTCCAAAAATATAAATTCTTGGGGGGGAAAATTCACATAGGACACTTGACATCCCTGACTTCTGACATGCCTTTCAGGCACAGCTATTGCATCCTCTCTGATGGACAGACAAGGAAGAAAAAGTCTTCTGATGACAAGCTTTGCTGGAATGGTAGGTTTTTTAAGTTGTAGGCTTGTAGCAGTTCTTTTACCAAATCAGGGAGTGTGGTATTCTACCGAAACTACCAGTATTTGCATTTTGGGCCTTAAGACACATAAACAAACATCTCTCATGTATCTTCATAAAATTTCTTTTCCTTTTCCTTCTATATTATGATCAAGTTTCTTAAACTGAAACTGATCTCACCGTGATGCAAATACTTAATCTAAAGTTTTAGATTAGAAATGGCAAGTTTCACAATATGTTAAAGATGGTAGATTTTCTTGCATGCAAAACTCTAGCTAGGTAGCAGGTATGGACTAGGTATATCGAGTTGTTCTTTTTTCAACTAAATTGCATTGGAAGGTTGAGTTGTTGAAATACCCTGTTCATATTCCTTTGTCTCTATGGCTTCAAAACCATAGCTCATTCAGATTGTTAAATCTTATTCATTTATGGTCCTCAATATTGCTTGCAATGCCTTATCAGAGAACATTTCTCTTTAACTTGCTTGGAAGTAGTGCAGTTGAGCATCTTAAGATAGTTCCCAGGTGGTTTCAGCAATTGAGTAGTTTATGCAAACTAAAAAACAATTAACATTTGCTTGCCCATAAAATCTTATTCATTTATGGTCCTCAATATTGCTTGCAATGCCTTATCGGAGAACATTTCTCTTTAACTTGCTTGGAAGTAGTGCACTTAAGCATCTTAAGATAGTTCCCAGGTGGTTTCAGCAAATAAGTAGTTTATGCAAACCATAAAACAATTAACATTTGCTTGCCCGTAAAACAACCCCCTTGGTCAGCATTCATTTTGCATCTGTAGCATATGATTTTCCTTTGATTTTGTGGATGCTTGAATGGATTGTGTATCACAAAATAATAAAAATACTATGCCTTGGGTGAACAATGGTTTTTATGAGCAAGGGTTATAAGTAGCATTTTGTTTGACTTTCCTCTGGTTGAATAACACCCATGTATGGGATTGTGATATTTCAATTGTTTATCATCGGTATTATTTCTTCCAATGTGCATGGCTCTAAATGTTATAACATGATGGAAATATTGGTTGGTTGAGAGGAATTACAGAAGTTATTAACCCTGAAAAGTTTATTAGACTTGCTTCTTCCATCACCATGTGATGTCCTTTCTTATCATTTATTACAAAATGATATGATAGTTTTCTCATTGGATTCTCTTTTAACTAATGAACTACTTTTTACTGGTCTTATTTTCCTGTCTTCTTTTTGGCTCGTGAAGGCTGCTTCAATGTTACTACTTTCTTTATCATTCACCTGGAAGGTCATGGCTCCCTATTCTGGCACACTAGCCGTTGTTGGAACTGTTCTGTGAGTTGACGCTTTTTATACGATTAACGAATCCCATCAATGTTTCTTCCTATTTTGATGCCTGCAATTGTTGTCACCTCCTATTGGCTGGTGAGATCTAAACCGGCTTCAATTTCTATCTCACAGCTATGTTTTATCCTTTTCGCTTGGTGCTGGTCCTGTGCCTGCTCTTTTTCTGCCAGAGATATTTGCTTCCAGAATCAGAGCCAAAGCAGTGGCTTTATCGCTTGGCACGCATTGGGTAAGTCACAATCGAGAACATGCCCAAAGATATTGATATTTATTTATAGGTCAAAATCTTTTATTACTCCTTGTACTATATCTATGTTGTAGATTCAGTCTCTGTCCTCTAATTTGGTCATTTTGTCTCAGTACTATTTGAACTTTGAAATTTCAGTCCCTGTTCAAATGGTGTAGGGGGACTTAAAATGATCAAATTAAATAACAAGAACTAAATCTACAACTTAACAAAATGTTTGGGTTATGGCCAAAATTTTAAAATTGGAAACTTACATGGACTAAAAATGATCAAATTAGAGTGAGGAACACAACCAACAACTAATGCATAGAACAAAGACTAATAGAAGAATCTAACCTTATTTATATCCCTAAAAGCAAATTTGTAAATGTAGATACTTGGACGGTGCCAACAGTTTTTGTTCTTAACACCTGAACATTTCCATCGTCCGTACTTAATACCTTCAAAATTCGTAGTAGGTTATCGTTCTCCAAATATATAGAGAACCTAAGAATAACTTGGGGAATACTTGAAACATACCCAGACCAGGCAACATAATTAAATATTGCATATATTTTGTTCAAAAGAACATGATCTAAAAATGTTTGGCGTTTGTTACCTTTGCTTCCTGCCACCAATTGGGTATTGATTGATTTGATCTCTGGCCTGTGTTCTTGTGTTGACAGATATCCAACTTTGTCACTGGCCTGTATTTCTTGAGTGTCGTGAACAAGTTTGGGATCAGCTCGGTGTATTTGAGATTCGCTGGTGTGTGTGCTCTTGCTGTCCTGTACATAGCTGGTAACGTTGTGGAAACGAAGGGGAGATCATTGGAAGAAATAGAGCTTGCTCTAAATCCGACGAATTGATTTGTAGAATATCCAAAGGTATGCAGTAATAATCTCTGAATGTGGTTAATGTTCATGTATTCCATTATCTTGCATCTTTCGGTTGAAGCCAGACAGAAGCAGCCAGTTTTAGTGAGATGTTTGTTACTTGAACTCTGGAAATTGTAGTACTTTGTGCAGAGATTTCTGGTTGTTTGAACTGTCGGTTTATGGAATACAAGATGTTGCGCATGAAAATACCAGCCCTCTGTGTACTCACTTCGTGAGTTAAATAATGAATAATTTGCAAAAAGGAAAATGGGATATGATCAGAAAAAAAAAGGGGGAAGTGGGTGCATCAATTTTTTATTTTATAATATACATGAATCGATTGAATTATTTTTAAAATTATGACAAGACTTTTTTAAATGCATTCAATCAAGTTATTCGTTATTAACATCTAGCGGAGTAGGTGACGGACTGTTAAAAATATTGGTATAATTATATATTTGATCCTCATTATTTATAAACTCTATCAATTTAATCTTAATTTTTAATTCAATTAAATAAATTAATCTCCAATTATGCGGTAACATGTGTCATTATCATATCAGAGGATATTTTTTTAATTTTAATTATTTTGTTTTTGTTTTATATCTAATCAGGTGGTAACACATGTTGTTTAATTAAAAACAAATTAATGGAACAATTTATTTCTAGGGTTTGAACCAAGGAATTGCAGTATAGCTGGAAATCGAACAGGAGGCCAAAAAATAGCCTAGGCATGCCCTTTTTTTTGGGGTAAATGAGGAAACAAAACAGAAAACTAAACTAACTAATTTAATCTAAATTGCACTCTTCTGCCTTCAGCAGCTTTCTTGCCGCTTCTGGAGCTGTTGGATAGGTGTGAACACTTCCCAGTTGAGTTTTGTCATACAGTCTGCTATTCTGTTACTTTCACGGTGAACGTGATTGATCTTGATCTTCCATTCGTTTCTCAGTATCTTTTGAACATCTTGTCCTATCGAGAGGTCCAAGTTCATCTGTTCCTTCCTATGAATGTTATTCCATATATCTTTATTGTCTACCCCAAGAATCAACTTCCTCACACCAAGCTCCCATGAACCTTTTAAACCTTCATACACCCCCCCAATACTCAACTTTTAGGACTGAGCATGAGCTAATCGTTTTGTGGAAACCCCACTGCCATCGCCCTTTCTCGTCTCTTAACACTCCATCTGTGATTAATTTAAGCCATCCTGGAGGGGGTGGTGTCCAACTCGCTTGTGTCCTAGCCGTATAGCCTTTGAGTGATTGGAGGGGGTGGTGTGCGTTCCGAAACCGATTCTCTCTATGATTTCTGGATAAAATTTCTTTTTATTTCAAAGGAACCACGTGATTGCTCCAAAAAGTGTATCCCATGATTCTCCATTCACCGGATATTGAGTGGGGTACGTAAGGTAATTATAGATCCAATCCTTCAGGTTAGAACTCAGTAGTCTTTTCCTTCTTAATAATCATCTTCCATAAAGTATTGGCCATTGGACACTGTCTCACAACATGATCAACGTCCTCCCAATTAACTTTGCAACTTGTGCAATTAGAGTTGAGTGCGATGTGTCTTCTGACTCAAGAATATTTTAATTCTTTGTGGCCCATTGTACTTGGAGATTGTCTTCCAGTCTTTTTCCTCTTCCATTCCCAACTGTTATAAATCCCATATTTATGGACAGATTGTAATTTTTTTTTATATATTTTGTTGTAGATTTTTTTCCTTTTCATAATTATTTTTCAATAATTATATAAGAACTATATTAAAAATATTTAAAGAACCCAAATTCACAAATATAACTTAAATCATAAAATAAATGTATAATTTCAATCTTAAAGTTGTCTTCAAAAGATTTTTTAGAATTATTTCTCATTAATTTTAAATCTAGAATCATTTAAAAATAATTTTAAAAATAAAATAATTTAATTTTAAAATATAAAAAATTAAATTCATTTTTTTGGGTAAATAGTGTAGATTTAAAAAGAAATCATACACATGAAGTATCATACATGTCTCGTTAAAAACCTCCCTAACTCTAGATGGAGGGAAAAAGTACACGTAAATTACTTAAAATGAAACAACATAGTAACAAATATGAATCTAATTATTTTAATAGGTTAAAATTTTCCTCAATATTTATTATTGTGCATTCAATTTTTTTCTAATATTTATATTTAGGGATCACTCTTATAATTAACTTTTTTAATATTTGTATGAGTGTTTAATTTTTTGTCATTTTTTTCAAACATTGTTATTAAAGGCCCAATTTTTTTTCATTACTTATTATCATGGTCCATTTTTTAATATTTGTTATTAGGGACATATTTTTAAAATTCATTTTTTATGACTCCAATTTTTCAGTACTTTTTACTAGAGATTTAATTTTTTCCAATATTTATTATTATGAGCTTACCCTTAAAATTTATTTTTATATATTTGTCGTTAGAGATTTATTATTTTAATACTTATTATTATGGAGTTGTTCTTAAAATTTACTTTTTTTCAACATTTGTTATTAGGAAAAATTACTTAAATAATAGTTTGTAACCACAACAATGATTGTTATGCAGTAGTAATGATATTGTTCGGAACTTATATATACATAATAGTATATGTTACTAAAATTCACAATCACGATACTTGTAGTGACCGCAATGTCATCTGTTGTGTCCGCAATAGCGATAAACACAAAGCAACGAAAGACACAAATGTAAACTGTAATTTAAATCCTAATTACGGGCCTAATTTTTTTGTTCGCCCGAGAGCCACCAAAATCTCAAAAATGGACCTATATATATAATTTATTTATTATATTTATTTTAATGATTTAAGTTCGAATCCTATCAATTCCTTCTTATTTCTTGTTTTTATGTGAAAATGTATTACAAGATATGTAAAAGAGTTTGTAATATAATACTAATAAATATGAGGCTAAGGCATTTTAATATGATCTCGGTTGTGTGGCAAGAGTCATATATGTTGTTGTCCGATCGTGATTTGAATAAGAAACTAGTAGCTCTTTGCTTGAACTCTAAAATTGCACAAACAGTGTTGTAAGAAGGAAATTAATATAAGTAAATTGAAACGAAAGGTTGTAGGTTATGATAAAGTGGTTTGAAGGTGATGGAAGAGTGATGGCTGTTGTGGTTTAATGAAATGAAGAAAAGTGGAGAAAGTGTAGTGGTGATAATAATTTATAGTGTGGAAAGAATGGAAGTATGGTGAAGGTAAACGATGTTATGGCATGAGAGATGAATGATGAAATAAAAAGTATGGATTGTGACCAGCTAACTATATGGAGCTAGGAACCAACAATATACAAAGATGGAATCGAAGTGATAGAGGGTGGAATGTGGCCCAATAGCTATAGATGAGCTAGGAACCAACTCTATAAGTAAATGGGATGGATGAAGACTACAAGACTATCTTGAAGCCGATAAAGTTATTCAAAAGAAATAGAATGAAAGCAAACTCTCAAACGGTATTTTATAAAATCAAAGTTGTGTACAAAATGATTATAAATGTGCCTATTTATAGTACTTCTAGGCTTAAATGTAAATAGGTTACAAAAATAATGAATACTCATAATAATGGTGTTAAATGCTCTTGAGTGGCTTGTTTCTTCTCTTCTTCCTTGTGAACGAAAATGATAGAGTTCTTGGATGAATGTAAACACTTTTGGGCTGAATTTGACCTTAAATTCGTCCAAGGAGGTGGAGATTATGGGGCTGCCTTGTTTTGCTTAAATATGAAATAAAGTAGAATGAACGTAGTCCTTGAATGCTCATAAACCTCCTTGTTGTCCACTCTTCCCATTCCATGCTTAATTATCGCACTTAATTGTCATAATAAGTGAAATAATTCATCCTTCATTGCATGTTCTTTGAAAGTCATAAACATCCCCTTAAATTGGATGATAATGACTTTGAATGCCTTGAATAGGTGAGTCAATGTGACCTTTATTACATTCTCCCTTGAAGAATATGAGCAACCCTTGAAATTGGATGATAAAATCAGCTTTGAATGTCTTAAATTGGTGAATTAAGAAGGCCTTCAATTGCTTGTATCTTGGCTGAAAATGAAAAGACTCTACTCCTTGGCTTAAACTCATCCAAATCGTCCATGCATAAAATTCCAGTAATGAAAATTCCAGCTTGCACTGTCTTCGGTAAAACGGTCATATCTCAAGCTCTCGGTATCGGATTGAGGTGATTCAAAAGGCGTTGGAAAGCTAAGAGATAGAGGAATAATATCCAATTGATATCAGGACCCAAACACATCTGTATTGCATCCAGAAATGGAATATATTCTGATTGTTATTCTTGCATTTGTTATGACTATTCAACTTCCCTCATGCACCTAGACACAAAAACAAACAAATGTTCATGCTAAAAATAAACAAATATAAGCATGCCATGAAAAACATTAAAGAGCTAGTTTAGTTAATGAACCAGTTTAAATGAATGAACCAATTTAATTAGAGAACTAGCTTTATTGAATGAAAGAGCGTACTTAAATGAATTAACTTCATAAAAACCTACCTGCTTTAATGAACTCATGCTTAAATGAAATGCATGCTTAAATAAGTAGCATGCTTATTAATTTATGCAACTTAATGTTATGCAAATTTATTAACACTCATGCAAATTCATGCACAAGTAAAAGATGAAATCCTCCCTTAAACTTGATTGTTCCTTCTTCACGTTCCAGCCTTGAGTATGATGGTGGAGGTTATTCTTTTGGATTGAAAAAGGCTTCCAAAAATCTGAACTTGGTTTGAAATTCCTAAATTAAGCTCTAATAAGCTTCTTGAAGCTTCTCGAAGCTTCTCGAATGTAAACAACTTGCCTCGATCAAAAATTCTCAAGGAGATTGTAGAAAATTATGTAAGCCGCATAATCGGGATCACATCACATTTCCAGGTTTTATTATGGCCCCTGGTTTGATTCACTCAGCTCCAATTCCCCTCCAATTTACTTTCTTTTTATAACAGGTGGTGACCACATGTCACTACCGGATTGGTGAAATTTTTTATTTAATTAAATAATTAAAGTTAATTAAAAAAATCTCTAATCAAGTGATGACATGTGGCACATTTTGATTGAAAGATTAATTTTTTGAATTAAATTAAGATTATGATTAAATTGATAGAATTTATAAATATTAATAATCAAATATGTAGTTATACTATTTTTTAACAGCCACATCGTTAAATGTTAATGGTAAATAACTTTTTTTTTTGGAAATGAAGTTTTGTATGATTTTATTGATAATGCTCATATAAAACAAGAACAACGAAATGAATCTCGTTAAAAAGGCCTCCCTAATCCTAAACGAGGAAAAAGAGTACATCATTTCGATGTCGATACAAAATAACTCAACCATCTAATCTCCTATATTTTCTCCACAGGCTCACTAAACCATAACCCCACTGGTAAGAAGCTTGTTCAAATATGAACCGAACAGTGGCACCGCATACCAAACCTGAGTCAAAGATTCCAGCAGGCTCCCTATAGATGCTGTACAGAACACACTTAATCAAATATAAACCCAGGGGAACATCATTGATGAACCATTGCACTAGACGATCCTGTCTTACAACTCCTGCACTCCCACAGCATGTATCTACATCGCTCCCTCTGAGATGAGCTGCTGTTCGACAAACTGCAGATCCCCAAGACCCAACTTAACTGAACTAAATCATCATTACATAGACATATAACCACATCCAGTTGCACCATCTTGCTTTGGCGGCATTTAGAAATTATACAGAATTACCACTACCACACCAGCAATTTAAAAAAACGGCCACTAATATGCACATGTAATCAATGCAAACGCAATATGAACTCAACAGAAATATCTAAAGTTTGCAGAACGAACCACAATTGAAATCTAGAATGGATGGATATAAAGAGGGCCAATTGATGCTACACCTTGATATTGCTTTATTTATGGTATTTAAAAATTCATCCTAGATATTCAGTTCCCAATCGAAAAGCATTCTTCTAATCCCAATCTTCCAAGACCAATGTCCGTTACTGCTCGACCCGAAATCGATTATCTTAACAGACTTTCTACTGGCGACAACGAATATGCGCGGATAGGCCTCTTTAAGAAAAGAAACAACAGTCCAAGAAGTCCTCCCAAAACTCAACGGACACCTCATCAAAAACACATCTGAAATTCTTTGTGAGAGTATCGTCCGCTTGGGAGAGAGGCTTAGAGATATTTTTCACACCCACGAAGATTTTCTCGGATGAACAGGACCTGGCAGCAGTTAACTGTGATCAAAACCATAATTCTCCTCCACATACACTCTGTTTCGTTTTCATATCTACAAATCCATTTGTTCAAGACATATCAGTTCTTTAACCTCAAGTCGAAGAAGCCTAGGCCACCATAGGAACACAAATATTTTCCCATTTTACCCAATGAATCGCATTTCTAGACGAAGAGTCCCAAAAGAAGTTAACGATCGTCTTGTTTAACTTGGAGGCCACAGAGTTAGGCATCTGAAACAAGGATAAATAATAGAGAGACAAATTTCATAGAACATATTTTATCAGAGTTATTCGACCTCCAAAGGCAAGCAATTCTTTTTTCCGACCATCTAGTCTTGATTGAAACTTATCGAGAATAGGATTCCACAAGTCAATAGAGTTTCGCTTTATTCCCAAGGTATTTGGTGGCTCACATTTTGTAACTGCTGCCCAATCTCTAATACGACAATCATCCACACGGATGCCATACAATTTAGACTTGATCAAATTAAGTCTAAGGCCCGACGCTACTCAAATATTTTCAGGGTCCTCTATGCTTCTGACCATCTCAGGCTTAGTCTCTGAGAACACGATCAAATCATCTGTAAATTGTAGGTCATTAGAATCACCAACCAAAACTCTCTTTATCAAACCTACTTCAGTCGCTCTCTATTAAAAATTTTACGGACCTCATTAAAATTCCGATCAAATTTTTATTTTAAATAAAAAATGGTATATGTTAATTATTTTAAATAATAAGATAAATTACATTAATAATCACAAATATAACTTATTTTTATTTTAATAACGGTGGCATCATTGGTCCACGTATTTTAAAAAATTCTAGTATACCTTGATTATCAATGTAACATACTGAAACTAACTTTATGGCCGCTAAAATACAACAGATGTGAGATCAAACACTAAACAATCAATAACTCAAAGTTCCATGGCGGGTCTTTTCAGATTTCATTAGAGTCCATTTAGTCCCCTCGGAAACACAGTCGTACCTATTCCGATAGACCCCGGTGGGTATCACTTTTGCCATTCACCGGAGTGACCGTGGCCAGAATCACAATACCACCCAGCACAACAATCAATATACCTAAACAGTTTACCAGCAAAGCCTCGGTAGAGTAGCGCGATATTACCCGGTTGGTTTGAAGGAAAGTAAGCTTCTCTAGGATACCCGTTGTAGAAGTAGCAACAGCAAGTGCGTATGTATACATCCCGAAGAACACGTGCCATGGCAACAGTGCGGCTCTGCTGTTTCGAGAGCCGCCCGGGTACCAAAACGTTGCGAATCCAGCGGCCCACTGGTAAAAAGCAAAATAAAAGACATGATTAAGATCCATAACTCCACAAAAATGGAGCCAAAATGCACTGGAAAGGAACAGAGAAGAACCTGTATGCCAAACAAGAAAAGGCAAGCTAGGCCCAACCATGAGTGTAGACTGTAAAAGTTTTCAATGCCCCTATCGTTGTGGAACTTCAAAGCAGCCCACACACCGATAATACTCAAGATAAAGGCAAAACATTGAACTGTAAGATGAACTAACTTTTTGAAACTTTTCGTCCCGGGAACAGTCTTGTACGCCAGCATGGCTGCATTAATCAATGCCGAACAAGAGTTAAACAGAGCAAGGCGGTAAAGATGGCGACTTTTTTTAACATTCCATAAAAGTTCACATTCATGCTTTTCTAATTGTAGAATTAAGTTCTCTTTTAGAACACAAGATTTGTACACCCGGCATGTTTCACACCAAGGCATCAAGAAATTAGGACGCTCTTTCACCAGCGCAAAAACAAACTTGTGCATATCAGCTAGTGCAAGTATCATAGTTAATGGATTAGGCTTTACAAACAACCAGTCACATCAAGGTACCATGTTAAGCATCCACAAGCTCTTTAAATATTTTATGCAGCAGCTCTTTAAATATTTTCTCAAAAGAGAAAACAAAAGGCACAATGTATATATTTTCAAATAAATATCCTTCTAAGAAATCATGGCAATTCCCTTCTTAAGTCCTAAGAAAACCTCAATAAACCTATCAGTGACAAAAAAGGTTAAGTTCTCAAAGAACTGTCGATTTCTAGCCCCGCATTAGAATTTTTTCCCAAATACATGTTTATTCTTTCATAAATATAGAACTTTAAAGGAGATGGTGGGATGCATATAACTAAAAGTTGCAGCATCAAGAACATGATTCTGCAATATAAAAAATGGCATTCACCTTCGCCATTTAAGAGCAGTAGTCCAATGACCATCAGAACAGGATGGACCTGCAATAAGTACACAGCAAAGTTTGATTTTCTGAAATGGAAAAGAAAATACAGGTAGAACAAAGACAGAGAATGTTTAAGGGTTTGTCATGGTACTGTTTTTATTACTTACCTATCAGATTATTTTAAAGCAAACATAAATGTAATAGATTAACAAGGAACAAATGCAGAGATATAGTACCAAGTACCAACTCTCACACAATTGTCCCGTATAGATGTACTTCTGCATCAAAAATCATATTTTTCATTTTTACTAGCTCAAAAACATTGCTCACTTGTCTGCAGATATGCCTTTTGGTTTTCTTTTTCTTCCCCCTTCCAGGTGGGGGAAAAATGTAGCAATAGCAATGACAAAATTTTCCTAAAAATTAATGTTGATCACCATATTTTATTACTTTTTTGTGAACTGAGTTATACAATTAAACACTGAAGAATGACAGTACGCCTTGAAGTTAAACAAAGGAAACATCAATTCCTTATGTATCATAATTTGCAGCTTATAAATAATATCACAAATTATAAAGCAAAATGGAAAGAAGATCAATGTATCACCATATGTAAAAAAAGAAAATGAAAAAAAGAAACAAAAATGCAAACAACCCATTAAAGAAAAAGAACAAGTATCAGGGAAATCAAGTAAAATGAAATTTATCGATTCTCTACTAAAAAAATATATAGAACAAAGGGGGGCTGAGGAAGGAAGAGATTACATTAAAGATGAGATCTTTGTCATCGGAGATGAGAGCCAATCCTCCCCTGTAATGAAGAGTCCAGGTGAAAAGAATAGCTGTTATTACGATTCCCAATACCCTAATTACCATAAAGATAGGAAATTTGATCACCGGAACACCCATTTATGTATCACAAGCAAGACAGACATACAAGAACCAAAACAAAAAGGGAAGGAAATACGTGTTGTCTTGAAGGTCTTGAGGGATGGGTTTTCTCAAAAGAAGACGAAATAAAATGGAGGGTTTTGATTCCAATGAAATGAAGAAGGATTTTATATTTGATTAATCTGTAGAGGATAGATCAGAGAAGGCGGCGGCGTCAGAGTCATCAAGCTTCCACAGTAGACCAGGTTTCAAGCCAATTACGTATCCACGTTCGCTCAACACTTCTAAATTATTATTCTTCTAGCAAATGTCAAATTTCATTTTAGTATATAATTCAACTTGATGATTTAATTTCATTGAAAAACAGAACAGTTCATGATTTTATTTTTGTGTTTTTATATTGAAACAATTTGACTATTCTTAATAGGTAAAGAAAATTTTTGTACTCATGATGCTTCAAACATGAAAGAAATTGGAAATAAATAAAAATTAAAATGTCACATTTGTTCTTATAGTAGACTTAATTTATCATTTTTGTCTATATCGTATTTTCGTTTCAATTTAAACCTCAAAGTTATTTAATTACATCATTTTATATTTTAATCTTGACTTAAAACCTTAAGTTAGAGTTTAGGGTTTATAATTTATGGTTTAAATGTTATGGGTTTAAGATTTAAGGTTTTAAGTTAGGGGTGAGATATAGAATGATTGAACAACTTCGATGGCTAGATTGATGAAAGATATGATAGAGACGAAAGTGACAAATTAAATCTAATACAAGGTAAAAAAAAGATATACACCATAATTTGTATTTATGGAGTTATTAGATGTATAGTCAAAATTACATATAATTAAGACTTTAAAATGTGCAGATAATGAGGATTGCTAGTTTGGTAAACTAGCCTATAGTTATTAATGGATATTTTTGGATTTACGATAGAAAGAGGATTGTTTTAGGCTAAATATTTCAAGTTCCGACCATAGTAACAACGAGGGAAAATTACAAAGAGCTCTCTCTCTCAAAAATTTTCAGGTGGCGAGAAATGAGACAAGTGGGAAGGCTTAGGGTTTCTGAATCATATAACAAGGATTATATAGGTAACTCAAAACGACGTTGTATATAGGGGTTAGGATTTTTTTTTGAATTAGCGCTTGGTCTATCCACCTAAGGAGGGATCCTAATTTTGTAATATTTCATTTTAGATACTAATTCGAATTATAATTGTTTTCACTTTGAGCTTTAAATTTAATTACGCTTACATTATAGTCACGATTTCGTTTACAGTAGTATTTTAGGTTTAATATTTGATTGCATCCAATAATTTGAGATGCATTTCATTTTAGTCCTCTATTTATTATAGATTAGAGAATGATGAATTGATGCTTTTAGTCACTAAAATTTTGCTATGAATTCATTCTGATTAATTTTTTGAATCTCTAGGAAATAACATGAATTATTAACTCAACGGTTCTCTGTTTTCTTTATTTATTTTGATTAGGTCCTATATTTATGTTTTATGCTTTGAATGTGTATGTTTATATAACATAAACTTTTTTTACAACATATTTTTTTTATTAATTATAAATTGTGTGTGTATATATAAAGGGAGCACATTTTAAAAATCATGTGTCAAAGTTATATTTATTTACTTAGTAATATATTTATATATTGTATTTGTTTTTATGCATTTAAAAGTATGTACATATGTATTTTATTTTATTGTGTTATGTTTATTATGTTTATTATTTATTTTTGTAGTTCTTTATTTATTTTATAATTACATTTTTATCCCAATGTATTTTCAAGAACATTTATCGTAGAATGGACGTGAAAAACACAATTTATTAGAAACGGTTCAATTCGACACATTCAAACGAAAAGTGAACTTGATCAATTTTAATAAAAAAAGGATTTTGCTTTAATTTTTAACCCGAATTTTTGGTTTCCGCTGTCACAACAAATATAAAAAATTAGGTATCAATTTTGGGCGTTGTGGAAGTACTTACCCTTTCTCACGCGTAATCGACTCTCGAACTCTAAAAAATGAGTCTTTGGAAAACACATTCCAATTTATGCCTAAAAATGTTTTTTCTTAAAATTGTTTTAACATATATTTTTAGGTATTCAACCTACCTAACCCAAAGGTCGATGACGACTCTAAATTTCAAACTGAACAAAAATCCACAAATTTTCAAAAAAAAATCATAATTATTTTAAAATTTAATTAATAAAAAATAGTTATGACAAGTTGACAACTCTGCTATGAACTTTTTTAGAGACTCAGGCCGTCAATCGCTTATACGTTATTGTGATAGTGAAAATTATAAGCTCGAGTCCAAATTAACTTATGATCCTTTTTATTCAAAGATTGATTCATTTATTTTGGATTATTTATCAATAATTGTACTAATGTTTTGTTTCTTTGTTTTCATATTTATCAAATATTGTTTAAAAATATTTGTGTTTTTATCGTTTTGTTGAGTCAAAGGTTTGTATGCTTCTCCTCACATACCACACACATTTCATGACATAAGTTCTATACCAGAGTTTCGTCCCAATTAAGTAGGGGTGAATGCTATGTTTTCGTGGTGAATTTATTTCTCGTATGAGCTATAGCAATTAATAAAGTGATAATCATTAAGCGTAGACCAATTTTTGTTTAACAATGATTTTTCCTAAAATCATTTTAAAGGAATTTTTTAAGCATTTTATCTACCTAACTCAAAAGTCGATGACGACTCTAAATTTCAAATTGAACAAAAATTTATAATTTTCAAAATCTAATTAATAAAAAATGTTATAACATTGAATACTTATTTTTGCTTTAAGTCATTATTTTATTTTTAATGTATTATATAAATATAAATTTCCTTTTGAAAACGAAACTTATCAATTTAAAATTTAAAATTATAATAAAAAATTAAAATTCTTATTCTCTGGTATTAAATATTTAAAAAATCACTAATAAATTATATATTTATATTAAATTATATATATAAATGAAAAAGTTGTGTATTGGTTCTTGGAAAATTAATGATATATAAAAGAATATATATGTATATCTTTTCAATGAAAAATTTTATAAAAAAAATAGAATTTACTGATTAATAAAATATTTATTCTTTTTAATATTTGCCATTTTTTTTATGATTCTAGTATTTTATCTCGATAACTTATTTTCTTAGAACTAATATTTATTTCTTGATTTAGAAATTCGTTTTTCTTGACTTTTATAATTCTAATTTTTTTCTATTTGATTTTTTATTGTGTTTGTTCTCGTAGTTAGATCCTTTGTTTATTGATTTTTTGTTAATGAATTTGAATGGATGATCTGCGAATTATCTTATTACTGATTAGTGAATCCTTCTTAGTTCCGGCCAGTTCATATATTTCTTTCATCCCAAGAAATGGAATTATATATATATATATATACACAGAGACACATGATATCCTCTTCATGCGAGATTGATCTTTGATAAAGATCTTACATAGTAGACTGATGTGGTTACTCATTTTCTTTCGATTAATTTAGAATAATTATAAATGATAATATATGTTTTAAACATTCTTAATTATTGGATAATTAAGGTCCAATATCATATAACTATTGGTATTCAAACCCAAAATTTCTAAAGATAACAATGACCCCTTTAGCTTCTAAGAATAACAATAATTTTTAACCACCGAATGTACTCAATATTTTTCATTAATAGTTTTTATCTATTTTCTTTTTTATTATTAAAATTACAAAATCTCCTTTTAATATTTTTTTTATCAAACTGTGGTAATTAAAAGGTAATATATGTTCATACATAATGTAACATCCCAAATCAGGGTCAGTGACTAAATTGCAAATTTTAAAAATTATGTGCTCGATTTTGAAACAAGTTAAAAGTTCAAGGACTTAATTGAGAATGTTATTTAAGAGGATTATCTGGTAAATATAAAAAGAGTAGAAGGGTATTATGGTCTTTTTCCTTTAAAAGATATTTTCTCCCCTTTTATAAGAGTGAAAACGTGGGAAGAGAGCTATCTGGAAGCTTTCTTCTTCTTGCTTTCTCTTCTTCACGTGGGGCATAGCTACAATAGGTACGTTGGGTTTTTATAGTTATTTACTTTAAATATTAAGTGGATTTTGATTCTTTGGGTATTAAATAAGCTTAAGGAAAGCTTATATGGGATTTAAACAATAAGATAAAGGAATTAAGAAGGAATTTGTAATATGAGTTTTAAGATGAAATTTTGATATGGTATGGTTGTTGAAGTTTTATGGATGAATTTGACTTGTCATCAATCTAATTAAGAAGTATGAAGTGTTAGAATTGGAATTAGAACACATTGAAAATTTAGTGTGATTCTTGAATGCCATGTAAATGATGGAATTTTGGGTTTAAAGAAGTGATTATGGAATAGAAATGAGTTTAAATATGTGTATGGAAGTTAGGAATATTAAAGGAAGTAAAATATGAAGGTTTAAGCTGAAATGACGTGAATTTCGAGCTCAAAATGGGATTTCTAGGCTAGGGGAATCAATACCCCCTCAAACGAACATGGAATTCCAGAATGCCAGAGGGGAACCGATACCCCCACAGTAGGGAATCGATACCCCCTAAAGGAAAATGGAAATGTTGATTTCTTAAAGTCGTTTAAGCTATTAATATCAAGTTATAAGGTTGGATTTTGATAGATTGCCTTAAATTGTATATTTGTGTAGATACCGAGCCTAAATCAGTTCCGGAATATTTGGAAAATAAGATCGATCAAGGGGAATTATGAGAGATCGGTATTAACTTAGTGAGGCCTAGGTGAGTGCATCTTATTTTATAGGATTATAAGGAAATTGGACTTGTGATAAGTCTATTTCCGATAGTTATTTTATTATGCATGAAGTGTGGATTATAAGTAGGTGAATAACATGAAATGTATGTATGATTGATTATATGAGCTGATATGTTTGTATGTGTTATATAATTTATGTAAGTATAAAGAATATGTCATATGATAAGATCTACATGATATATATAGAATTGAAAATATATGTCTATGAAGAGTTATAAGAGAATCTACATAATTCATATGATAAAGGGAGTATAGGATTATGAAATAAAATATGAAAAAAAAATAAAAGAATATGATGAAAGTGAATCCACGAGAAACGATAGAAACTAGGTAATTATATGGAAAGGTTATATGAATAA